AACCTTCCGATCAGTAGGTGACCTGCTCTACCTCCTGAGCTACAGCCACCCCACAGATGAAGTCATTGGTTTTAAATTGCAAATATTTTCTAAAACTGGCCAAGTCAAACATCATCAGATGTTGATGTTGACTTAAGATAATCTCATTTCAATTAGTAAAAGAAAGAACAGTGTGTTTTACCGTTGTGACAGATAGTATTTCATTGTCTCAGTATAAGACCATTTTTCAGTATAGTGTGAGGACAGGGACTTTGCCTCACCTGCTGGAAGACAGCCGGCTGTGTACCCATCAACAGCTGAATGCTCCAGGGTCTATGTTGGCTTGTCAGTTTTAATAACTTTTCTTTTTTTGTGTGTGTGTGTGTGTGTGTGTGTGCATGTATTTGTGTTTTTTTTTCAGGGAATTTGCGAAGGAGAGAGAGCGTGTGGAGAAGAGGCAAGAATTCTTGAAGCTTCGCCGACAACAGCAAATAGAGAGAGAGTTAACTGGGTACCTGGAGTGGATCTGCAAAGCGGGTCAGAAACACAATCATATCTTTACACTGCAGGTGTAAATTTAGTTATGACCGATTTTTACCGTTAGATTTAAATAACAGCTTTGCTTTACTTGATGTTAGCACTATTATGACATAATTGTTTATCATATTTTGTGTTGCAGAAGAAGTGATGCTCGCTGAGGAAGACAAGAACGCAGAAGAGAAATCTTTGGATGGAGCATGGTACAAACGAAAACACAACAACTCTGGTGAGGACTGGTATCTTGAGAATCAGTTTTCAACATTGAAAACATTTACATTTAGAACAACATGCAACCATCATTAAGAAGTTAAATATAAAAAGTGAGCTTAAATCTAAAAATCTTTGGATAAAAATTATAAGACTTACAGGTCCCATATTTTTTAGGTTTTAAAAAATTTATGTTTATTACAGCTTTGTGTGTGGCTATGTGGCTGTGCATACATGTGCCTGTTTGTCTGTTTACATGTGTACTCATAGACCAGACTAGCTCTCATCTGCAACTCACCCAGGATTACAGTTAACCTTTATTATGGTTATAAAGGTGGAAGGCCAATGAGATCAGAATGCAGGAGAGAGGAGGCGGCTCACTGAAGTTAGCATTGTAATATGAGTGCCCTTCATGCAGCTGTGACTCACTTTTCTGTCATTTGAATACTGTCCTGTTTTTTACTCTTCCTTTTTAAGAAATTCTCAATAGCAAACTTGAACTATGTTATTTTACAGAACGCCAACAGCAGCAGAGCAAATTTGGGTGTTATGTCAGCAGAATGGAAAATATTTGTACAACCTAAATTCTTATTTCTTTTATGATAAATATTGCAAGACATTTCACCTCTCATCCGAGAGGCTTCTTCAGTTCTTCTTGGATGAGAGGTGAAACGTCTTCAAGCAACTTAAAGAAGTCCAGACACTATTCTTTCTAAGCTCCTTAGACTACAATGACCTGGATGACTGAGAACCTTCACAGACAACACAGCTTAGCATTCACTGTGTTTATGTTAGTATAATATAAACACAGTGAAGCTTGAAAGTTGAGGGTTCCCGATGGTTAGGAACAAATGCAATGGCATGGCAGGACGCTATAAACGGCCCAAACTTCAGTCAGGAATCAGGAGAACAACTGAGGTAATCCATCCACAATACGAGGTTAGTCATTAATATACTGACAACAACACAGGAATCGAGCAGCTGCCAGAGAAGTCAATATTAATGAATCAATGGTACGGAAGAGGAGGAAGCAAGAAGAATGAGTTGAGTAAAGTTTGACCTATCTGACTGTTTTGTTTCGCTTAATGCGCCTTATAATCCAGTGCACTTTATGTATGAAAACAGACCTGTTCCTTATAATCTGGTGTGCCTTATGGTCCGAATAATACGGTAAATCACTCATGATCAAACCAGTGTTCCTCTCCGGGTATGGACACCCTTGCCATTGAAAAAATGGCAGCCTGCCTGAAGGTGCAGATACATGGTAGATTCCTGATCTGGTGACGTACATCTTCTGTGTACGTCACCAGATCAGGAATCACCGTGTTCCATCCACTTACCCAGAGGTTGTTTTGTTCTCCTAAGATCTAGATAATGTTTATTGTCATATAGACAGTCTGAAGCAGAAAAAGACAATGCTATTCACCAGACCCTATAACACAGGGGAAACTACACCTAGTCTGTATGGGTTTCCTAAGATACTTAAAAAGGCATAACTGTTTAAGAACTGTTAAAGGTATACTGTCAGTTCTGTCACCCCAAAAGTTCTGGATTTGGTCCTCAACCCAGAGGGCTCCAAAACACCACATTCCTGAACACAGGAATGGAGAATGTGGGAAACACCATTATGGAGGGAGATGAAACAATTGCCTCTTAGGATGTTATGTCTCTTTTCACTTTGCCTTCCAGTTGCTGAAGCAGTGCACATAGTTTCTAAGAAATTACAGGATTGTGAAGGGTGCGCTTCAGAACAGGAACACCCTCAACACCAACCAAATATGTCTGCTCTTGGAACTAAGTTTTAAGTTTACATATTTCACATGCAAGGGACAGACAGAGAGAAACATGGATCCACCATCAGCTTCCCAATTTCACCTGGCTAACTTAACAGTAAAAGTACTGTAAATGAACTAATGGCTCTGTAGTTCTCCATTTTCTCCATATTCATTAGTTCAGTTATAGTACTGTGAAAAAGTCTTGAGCCACGCCTCAGTTCTTTATATATTGCTTCAAAAGACGCTCTTGTGGTCTAGAGGAATAGTTCTCCTTTCTAAAGCTCTTTTATACGTTTTTTTTCTTTGGACATTGGCTTCTTTCACTCAGACCAGTCCTTGTACCTGATCATTTTCAGACTTTCAAAAATTGTAAATTTTAATATTCTTGCTGATAGTTTTATATATAAATCCAATCAGTACTGAAAATTATTGTCAATGCCTGAAAAGTCAAGCATCAGAAAAAGAGTTAAGATTTGCTATTGACAAACATCATTCATAAATGTGGTTATCCCAGCTGGGCATTTGTCAAAGTCGGGAACATGCATAAAGAATGATCCAGGCAATCTAGGACAGAAGGACCATTGCTCCTAAAGTAAACACTATTGGTAAGTTTTTATTTGCGAGGAGTATTGGAGCAGGTCAGACACAATTTTTTCAAAATAGAGTATTCTTTGGGCTTTCAACCCTCTATGCCAAAAGTGGTCCACCCCAAGGATTGGCTCCACTGGTATACACAACTGCCAAGACAATTGGTGTGAATTATACCATGGAGAAACAAAAAAAAATAAAAATTGACTAAGCAGATGGCACAGCACAGAAGAGCAACACTTATGGTGCCTATTTACACCTACAGGCAAGTGGCCATTTGTTTAGTGATCAGTGCAATATACTGGATAGGGAGGAAGTAGGCCCATTACAGGACTATATATAAGGACTATATAGAAATTATTTTTTGTGCAAACCCTTTTGCATTTAATATTATTATGGCTTGTGCTGGATGAAACATTTTTCCCCATTGAAAATGCCGTCTCCAGACAAACAGAATCAACTTTGATTTCCTCCTTTGAATTATTGAGTTCTGTCAAGGCAGAACAGCTGAAAAACTGAATATTGCGTGGCATGTGGCAGAGTGCGGAAATCCCCCAAAACAAAACCAGAAGAATATTAATATATTATTAATAATATAATATTAAAGTATATGAGCTGCTTTCTGACTTAGTTCATATTCCTTTTTTATTTTTGTGTTTCCTTGATGTATTTGCAGTGCTAAAACGGACCAGGAAGAGTAAGAATGATCTCATCAATGCAGAGGAAGGGGAGGACCACTTTACTGACATCTCATCTGTTGGTGAGGACAGTGCCTTAGATTTGTGATGGTTCTGTATGTTAAACACACAACATAGCGATTGTCCCCACTGCAAACATTTACATCAGTTAATTGTAACATTAAAACCACTGACAGGTTATGTGATTAATTTTGATTATTTGTTAAACTGCAATATCGTGCTGGAAGACCTAGGGTCTAGGCTTCATATGGCTGTTGCTTTGAAATGTTGGACTTTGTAGGACTTGGTCCCCTCCATAATTGTACCAGCAGGGACATGTTTAGCCACATGGTGTCCTTAAACTGCTTGCTCTCTGGCTAGTGTCCAAAAATGAAGTGGGCTTCATAGATAATTGGGAAATATACAGCGAAACACTGGACTTTTTTGGGAGAAATTGTGTCCATCCAACTTTACATGGAGCAGCTCTCACTTCTAGAATTCTAGACGAATTTATCAAACACCCCAAAAATGTGACTGTCCAAAGTTTGAGTTTACATTTTACATGCCTCTCTGAAGTTTCGCTCCTCCCCTCTCCTCCAATATCTCATTCCCATAGAGACTGATACTTTTCTTATACTATCAAAAGCCAAATCAAAGAAGAGCAAAAATCAATTTAAGTTTACAAATATGATACCTTCATATTTATCTCTTTATCTTTCAATATAAAGTTCATTCACACAGCTGTTGTTTTGAAATGACACTACAGCTTTGTGAATAAAATAGAATTGAACTGAACTTTGCTGCCTGTAATTGTTTCAGACAGTTTTGCTGTCATGTTCAGGAAACCCTTTTGCTGTAGGCAGCAGTGCCTTCCAGCAGCAGGACAATACTCCCCATCACACAGCACAAACTGCATAGCAAGAGCCAGTGCCTTACTTAGTTGGCCTCCACACTTCTCAGATGATCTCGGGGACGCACCACAGCAAGCCTAATTTTGAGACCCACTGAACCCATAAGGCTAACATATCAGACACTAAAGGAGATAACAATAGACCCTTTCCTTAATAAGTCAGAGATGCTTTGGTAATAAAAAGGGTATCAACCCAAAATTAATTTTAATATTGTTGCTGATAGTTTTATCTATAAACCCAATCAGTACTGAAAACCATTGTCAAGACCTGCAAAATCAAGCATCAGTCAAGCTTGCTTATACTGTCTTAAATCAATACTATGTAATGGCTACTTGAAAAGGAGTTAAGATTTGCTATTGACAAACATTATTCAGGAGATGTTGTCATTTTAATTCTGTTAAGCTGATCGCAGAAAAACAGAAAGTGAAATAAGAAAATCATAAGTAGAGGATGAAAAAGATTATACTGTTTATCAGGGCTTTCTGTGTCTTTAAAGGGTCTTAAATCTCCATCCATTCATTCACTTCCGCTTATCCTTTTTTAGGGTCGCAGGGGGTGCTAGAGTCTATCCCAGCTGTCATAGGGCGAGAGGTGGGGTACACCCTGGACAGGTCGCCAGTCACAGGGACACACAGGGACAGACAACCAGTCGTACCTATGGGCAATTTAGATTTTTCAATTAACCTATCCCCACAAAGTGCATGTCTTTGGACTGTGGGAGGAAGCCGGAATACCCGGGGAGAACGCAAACACGGGGAGAACATGCAAACTCCACACAGAAAGACCCTGGCCTGATGGTGGAATTGAACTCAGGACCTTCTTGAGGCAACAGTGCTAACCATGCTGCCCAGGTCTTAAATCTATTACAGGTCTTAAATGCTTTAACTCAAGCCACTGTAGTATCTGGTGCTGCTGTTTTAGCTTAATTTGCACATGTAGATTATGCACTTTGACTGCTTAAAGACTGTGTTTGGTCCAGGGCGGAAAACATACTCTCTGTAAAGGTGTTGATAAGAAGCGGACCGAAACACAGGTCTCTTCAGACAGAAAACGGTGAATTTATCTACAGTGAAAAACAATAGGGAAAATACATACAAGTCCTGGAACTGGACTTGTATATATGTATATCTCACTCCCCAAGGTGGTGATCTTCAAAATCCCCACACAGTGCTCGCGTCCGTGAACATTGGAATGGCATATATCCAAACTCATATCCAATCTGTCACTCTGCTCCCGTTTCCTAGTAAAGATAAACACAATAAGTCAGCTAGGCAATGTGTCTTCAAAGCAAGGTTTTTCAAAAGCAAGTCCATGGCTGTACTGACGAGGTAAACTGAAGGATCAAGTGTCAACTGGACCTCAGCCACACTGTTAAATAAGACGCTCCTGATGCCGGTAATCAGCAGCAGCTGGCGGCGGCTGACAAGCAGCAGGTGTGGCTGCCTCCAGCACGAGAACACTTCTGGGTCAAAGGATCACCCGGCGCCCAATACTTCCGGGAGCGTGAGCATCAACATAAAAGCACATTACAGGGAGATAGAACAACAAAATACTACACACGACAACAGAATATGCTTAACTAGACCATTGGGCAGGGTGACCCGCAAGGATCGCCAGCCCGGGGTAAACCTAAAACACATGGGCCCCCAGACCCAGGCCCATGACAGTCAAATTCAGAAGGCTATACACTAAAGTAGGAGAGCACCAAACTCTATCCTGATATATACATAATTTGAAACATTACCCTTAATTTTAATTGACAATAATTTATATCAAAAATTAAATCAGACCAAATAGGAGTCAATTTAGGCCTGGCAGGCTATTGGGCTTTTCATAAAAGTAGCATGTTTATGAAAAGAGCTCAGAAGGTCACCCCGGGGGGCGACAGCACAAAAGTTCACAGTTCGGCTGTTCTGGGGGCCGGCCATGTGAAAAGTGGCGACGGAGCTGGACCAGACGGTGGCGTGGAGGCCACAGGCGACGGAGCTGGACCAGACGGTGGCGTCTTGGACTCTCCAGTGGAGACGAGGAGGGGCTGGCCGGGCTGACCAGAGCCGCCAGCGGAGACGAGGAGCGGCTGGAGAGGTTCCCCTGAACCCCCAGCGAGAACAGATGCAGAGCCAGCAGGTGCGGAGACTTCTGGCTGAGGGGACACTAACTGTAGCTGCACAGGGCGCGCAGTTGGCTTGGGATGCAACGGCTGGGGCTGTGCAGGGCAAACAGTCTGTCCAAAGTTTGTCAATACCACGCAGTCCTCAGATGGCGGAGAAAGCTCACAAAGGCTTCCAGCTGAGGTTGGCAGTGTCTGAATGGGTTGCTGAGCTATTAACTGGGCTGGTGACTGAGCTAACAACTGAACTAGAGACTGAGCTGGTGACAAAACAGGGAACTGGGCTAATAACTGAGCTAATGACTGCGCTATGGACAGAAGTGCAAGTTGTAGTGGTGGTTGCAGTGATGGTGGATCAGCAGGTAGTTGAACTTGTGACTGAGCAGGTGTCCGACTCTTGGCTGCTCTCCTCCGGGGAACAGGAACAGGTGCTAGGCCTGGCCGAACACCAGCCATCCCCACCCGAGGAACAGATATGGTGCAGGGACGAGCTGGGCTCTGGCTGCCTTTATCCTGGGGGCCGGTGTAGGTGCAGGAGCTAGCTGGACCTCTGCCGCTCCCACCCGAGGAACTGAGACAGGTGCAGGAGTTGGCAGGGTCACAGCTGACCTCACCCGGGGAACCGGAACAGGCGCAGGCAACGGTTGGGTGTCCATCAACCCCACCCGAGGAACAGGTATGGGTGCCGGGATGAACGGAGCCTCTGCCAGGCTGGGGACAGAAGCAGGGACCAGCTGGACCTCAGCCACCCTCACCCGAGGAACTGATACGGGTGCAAGGGAAAGCTGGGCCCGTGCTGCCCTGGGAACAGGTACTGGAGTTTGAGAGCTGACCTCAGGAGCAGTAACAGACACTGGGAAAACCAAGTTAGTGGAGCCAAACACAGTTTCAGCAAACAGAGACTTATGGCGGGCTGGTTTTAGCAACTCTGCTGTACTAAAGTTATCCATGTCATAATTAGCAGCCTTTAAAGGTTGGAAGACACACAGTTCATTTTCCAGGAGGTCCCCTCCGGTTTCAGCAGGAACAGGAACCTCAGGACTGTTTGTTTTAATATTTAGTTCACAGGTATGGAACTCAAAAATAGTCTTTTGCTTTTCTAAGGTGAGTTTATCAATCTGTGTGTTAATTACTGCTGACCTGGGAGGAGCAAAGGAAAAACAGTCATTCTCAAACATGGGTGCGAGGGCAGGTAATGCAGGCTCTGGATTAACTGACCCAGAATAACTAGACACCAAGTTAACGGCCTCTGGCATGATTCACACAGAGGTTACAGTGTCAGAATTATTTAATTCAGCCTGAACAGCAGTCTCTTGGGGGACAAAGAACTCCGTCTCATGCTTAATAGGTGCAGAGATGAACTTAGAAATGTTATGAGGCTTGCAAACAGTCATTTTCAAACTTACTATTCCTCTCCGATGAGTTACAGACATGAAAAACTGCGGACTCAGGAACAGAATATTGTCCAATTCGGTCAGGCTCAGAAGTGGCTTGGAAGAAACAGTCAGACTCACTCACCACTGGAGTTTGCTCAGTAACTTTAGAGTGGCTACGGCGTGAACGTAGTTTTTCCCTGGGAATTGTGCTGTGAGTTGCTGGGGCTGTAGACGCAGGCACCTCTAAGACGTCAGCTGACTGAGCCGATTACGGGCCGAGCTGCGTCGAAGAGACAGGGAGCTTGTGCAGCTCCGAGCGTGGAAGTCCCAGGAAGAGCGCAAAGGACTGCAGCGGAGATAGGCTGCTTGTTGGAGGCAC